GACTTGTGCCTAAGTAGCATTATAACGTGATCTTCCTTATCACAAGTATAAGGGAGACAGCCAATAAGTCTCATTCGCTACTGACAGTCGCTTGTGGCGACAGCGGATTTTATATCCGCTTGAGTGGAGGAAACTTGGTGAGTTATGTTTCAAATTATGGGTTTGAATTCGCCGTAACATTCGCCAGGGGGTAATGCGGTTTTCGGATACTGTGCAAATGTCTCGAGTTGCTTTAGGCCTCTGAAGACGACGAGAACGTCGAAACGTTAGGCCGCTGATTAATAAACTGTTCCACCTAACGACCTCGCACGGCACAAGAATATTATAATCATAAACAATCGTTATTGTTAATGATTCGATCAGTTCTGAGGAATTGAGGTGTTGGAGTAACTTTTCGTTGAGTAAAGATTTTGAAGAGATTCAGCAGTGTCTCATTCTCCATGACGCAACTGCGAGCTCTAGTAGAGTAGCGATTGTTTATTTAGTTCAAAAATGTTGCGGGCTTATAAGCATGAATGATCGCAATTATCCAGTGAAGCTATATTGTCTTGATTAGTAGTCATGACAAATTGTAAAGAAAAAGACGCCGCGGATTCCAACCACCAATGTTGGCTGCTTTTGCACAAAAAAGGGAACTTTAGAGATGGCAGAGCCCGAACTTCCCTCGGCCCTGTTGGAACAAAGCCACGTGGACGTAAGAAGTTTCGTACAAGTCTTTCATCTAAGGAACTCCCTGATTGTTAAGTAAAGGCCAAACATGGAACTGTAACTGTTGCTCCCGGCTTTCTCAATATGTGATGGGAGACGATTGTCATGGTCTGATCGAAGAAAAAACGCGTACTAATTGAACTTAAATGATCCCATAATCGTTAAATGATCCCATAATCGTTAAGATCTTCGAAATCGAAAAAGCGGTGGTATTCACACAAAAACATTTTCATTACCAACCAAGACCGGCAGCAATAGTGAATGAAAGAGACAAACAAGAATCAACAATTATAACATAATACTCCCTCACCTATAGAGATCATCACAACAGCACCGGAAGTTGACACAGCCCCAAAACCTCCAGATCTCTACCAAACAAGATACTATATGGAACTTTTAGCACCGACACCCCATTGGGACTTTGACTGAAAGGTTTCGGCTTTTTTCCGAACAAGTTTTGTTTGAGATTTGGTGGCTTTACCCATGAGCAAAGATGGCGGTTCCTCCTAGCTTGCTGCACAATCTTGCCTATCACCCTGAAGTGACCACATACGCTCAGATAAAGGTAATTGTCTAGCTAAAAGCCAAATGTCAATATATTGTGATGCAAGAATAGGACTTTCTCTAGCTCATCTGGTTCCCAGCTACTGTGTAGCCCGCTGTTTATGCTTTCAAGTCGTGACAGCAGTGACTGGCAATCCATCGAGATCCCTGGAGCAGACAGGTACTTTAGCGCTAACTTCTTGGTCAGTGGATATTTTGCTGAGTTGACGTCGTTTTGCCAGAACTCGTACGGATCAGTAACGAAAGACGGATCATGTGACAGATAGTCCTCGAGCTCCTGAACAAAATTCACTTTCAGCTTGAGCGTAATCTCTGCAATTGGGAAACATTCTCAGCCAGATAAAGTAAAACGTAAAATTCAAGAAACAAATGCAATATGGTAAGAGACTCAACATGTTAATGGCACACTCTAACCCTGGTTCTTACGGAAGGAAGGGAACGAGCGGAAGCCGATGTACCCTACTGGTCAGTTTCAAACTTTTCAAGAGAAAAGTCGCGAATAAACTGCGTTTCTCAGAGAGAGACCGTTGCGAAAAGCTTTTCTGCAGTACGATACGGGAAGTAATAAGGTAGCTATCAGATATGCTTAGTTTATTCCCAGCAATAATGTTTGCTCTGAGTACCACCGTGTTTCTTCCCCAAATCTAGCTCATCATATCAGATTCATTCAAGCTCTATGGGATTAAAGTTGAGAATTCCTTAGGTAGAGAAGCCCCGATGACTAATTTTTCAGTGAAGCAAAAAGTATACCACTCTTGGCCATCTCCCTCAACTGGATCGCTGAAAAGACATCCTTGGTAACAAATAACGGAAACATCGTAAAGTTATCGGAAAGCATTCCTGCCAGGAACTTACCGATAATGCCCTAGTGCCGGCCTCAATCTTTGACAAGTTGGAAGGAGTTGTTATTGATGGAGGCTCAAACTTCCGGAAAGCCACAAAAGGATTTGAACAGTCTTCAACATTGGCCTCAGCTCCTTGCGCCGGGTTCTCCACCGGTAAGAAAGCCATTTCTTCGAGTTTCTCCAAGAATTCCTGTCGTTTATCACCAGCGAAATAGGCAGCTCTAAAGCGTGGGTCAACCAAAGTTGCTAAGTAGAGCTCGTCTTGATCTTCACACCCAGCCATGGATTCTTCGAGGGCAACACAAATGGCTTCTCTCACGTCGCTCAGTGAAGTCGTGTCCTCTCTCAGCTGGCGAACAATCACTTTGTAGAGCGGAATGACGACCGAAATCGGTGTGAAATGGCGATGTTTCACCAAACCAATTGCAAAGTCGATGGGCTTCAACACGTCGACGATTTCGCGTATCCGTTCCCATTGGGAACTGTCCAGTGGGGACTTATCCGAATTCGCTTCAACGAGGACAAAGGCCAGGCTGTTCTTCTGTTCCAACAAACGGCACAGCAACACATAAAGGCAATTCCAGCACATTCGATTTCCCTGAAAATTAATAGTTCACAACTTGAAGATTACATGAACAGGAAGAAGAACATCTACTATCCCGAAGGATCTGCCGTTATGGGAGCCTTCTTACATGTGCATTTTTTGGAAATGTAAGCCTATCTCAATGACTTATCACGGATAAACCTCTACATCATGCGTAACGATTTAACTGTTCAGTTCCAGAATCGTCCATTTGTAAGAGTGTATGTCGCGTAACACCCATTTCGACAGATGCTTCAAGGTCTATTCCTTCCAAAGCAAAAACCTGCTTAAGAAAGTCGAAAAAAGGGACTGAAATCAGAATCAAACTCAAACTATTAAAGCGGTCTAGGGAGAGTCGTAGCCTTCACAAAATGGGTGAGGTCAAAAATTGATAAGAGGTAAAGTGGGGTGTAACTTAGAAAGGGGTCCTCAAACTTTCAATCTGTCCAGTGACCTTTCTGCTTTAATTGAGTAATTTCAAAGACAGTGAGTCATACCAATCTCAAAAAAAAACAGGAACATAATCTCCCCTCCCTGTAACTCAAGCTTTGGTCGACCTGATTTGCCTACGCGGCGACGAGGCCAGAGGTGTGCATGGATCCGCATCATTGCTGCAATATGCAATCTGATCAAAAATGTTCTAAGTTGGCGGTTACAGAAAAAAGCGACATCAGGTTTCAGTTGCACGTTTTCATCGAAATGGGTAAAGTCTTGCAATTCTCACTGAAGACTACTATGCGATAGCCCATCTCAATCAGAAGGCGAACCACGACGCTGCAGTCGTGTCCCAGCGATAGCCCATATCAATCAGAAGGCGAATCACGACGCTGCAGTCGTGTCCCAACTACTGCTTGAACTCCTCATTATCGAGATCCAAACGAAATTCCAACTCATGGTGCAAGGTGTCTTGATAAAATTCGATTATTCGCGTTGGATGGAGTTGACCCTCACAGCTAGTATCGGCTGGCTCACTGCCTAATCACTATTGACACTATTGGTGCCGGGATCAAATGCTGCATGGTCTTCTCCCCACTGTCCTCCTTGCACGGTCAAGACACACTTCCAAGGATTAATTACTGCTGATGGGATAAATCACATCCCAACATAAATAATCAGCATTGCAATAGGAAAAGGTCGATGAGAAGGCACAGGAAAGGGACATCGATGCTCTCTTTGGACCGTAGAATATCGCGAGCTCCAACACTGCTCTGTATAGAGTAAATTAGTCTTTTTAAAGTTCAGCGGACGCCCAATCTCTGCCAGAACGCTCCGCTATCAGAGCGATGCCATCACCGTAGAGGAAAATTTTCAGTGGTCCATCCACGAGGTCTTTCGAGATGGTATCCATTGTCAGAAGAAGGAATAACGGGTTTAAATATCTATCGCATTAAGCTTGATTTCGCTGAAGACAGAGAATTTCGATTTTTAAAAAAGATAGTAGACTCTCTGGCCATAGGATATAATAATGCGACTGTTACTATTATTATCACAAGTATTTCTCTGCGAATAAATCGAGGAAGCCTCACCCCTTAATCAAACACAACTGCAAGCACAGGACAACTGCGACGCGCGGCTGGAATGAGCGTGTCGTTGGGGAAGGAAATTCCACAAAGTACTAGGGTGGTATACCTCAAAGATAATGAAATCAGCATCAGGACCCTCCTCCTAGCCTACGTAAACTCGAAAAAGTCAGTGTGGGAGAGACGCAAGTATGTGACCGTAACTGCCAGCATTGGGAAAAACCCTAAAATCTGCACTTAGAAAGTGCCATTCACCGATATTTTACTCGCTTGTCGAATGTATCGTGCCTAACGCAGCTAAGTGTATTTTGATGTTGACTTTCATAGACCGAGCTCAATGCCTACCCACATCCCTACGCTCCCGTAGGTTCCAAGTCTTCGATTTTCCTAATCAGTATAGTTCTTCCTAGACGTTAATAAAGTCTTACCGACGCTCCTGTCGATATCCTACATAATCGACTGCAGTTTCTGAAACGCTTTTCCATATCTCCTTTCCACACCTTCGGAGCAATCTGCTTCATTTGTGCGAAGAACGAGTCATTCCCATTCAGCACCAATTTCAGCCCTTCATCAATTGCCTAAAATGAGTGGATAATAAAGTTTTTCGCTTTGAACGAAAGCTAGTTAACGTTGAAAACTATAAAAACTCTCGATTTCATGTATACCTCTGTTTTTAAAACTACCTTCGTAGATTCCCACATCAGAACTGGCACTTGTAAACTGCGTTGGTGCTGCACTAGCGTTCCCAGAGTCAGATTCATTAACCTTTTTAGATAATTCCATTAGTCTTTCGCTGACCCCTTGTTACGTACTTGTACGTTTTTGCACATTTTTTTACTTCTAATACCTCTGAATTGGTATGTACTAAAGCCCATTCTCAAATACCCTTACAGCTCCAATGGTCGCATCAGTACATCACAAGCAAACTCTCCGAATCATCAGTTGAATGGCTCAACACGATTCTCTGCAACCTTTTCTTGACCCAGGTTGTAAGACGGCTGGAGCCTCCCGAGATATATACTCATCTGTGAGCAAGCGAAAACTTTGCTTTACAAGTAATTTACACGGGAACTTTGAATACTGAAGCAGCATCCACTCAAAGACATCTGTACTTAGGAAGTCGAGACGAACGGACGAGTCTTCAGCTTGTAAAAGCTGTATAAGTTGCACTATTCGCACCGGGACCGACACCTTGCACGCATGCAGCGTAATGCAGTCAGCAGTATGCAGTGGCACAAGCGTTCAAAAAGCTCGTCCAGATGCGCCTTTCATGCAGCTTTTTTCGTAAGGTTCTCGCTCAACCCCTATGTTTACTCATTTTCCTTTCTATTTCCTCAAGTACCCCTACTTTTTTCATTTGATTATTTTTCACGTTTTATCGTAAACTGTGCCTCTACACATATATGACTCTCACGCGATTCTCACAAGAACCTTTGATGCCGAGGAGAAAGCCAATGTCTTTCTACCGTACTAAATTGGAAATCAACTTCAAGTCAGAACTAGTAAAGCGCTTTATCGCGCACTTGTGAATTGTGGAGTATTGGATACACCCTCGTTAGGATTTCCACACTTTCAACAAAGAAAAGAAATCCAACCTTTTGAAGCTTTTGGGAAAAGTCGCTCATATGCTTCACGTACGACGCAGTGGTCACACTTGGTATTGGCCAGTGCTCGACGAGAATGTGCACTTTCTCCTGACTTATTACAAATGAGTTCAGAGCCTTCGCGAGAAGCGCTCGAGTCTCATCAGGGGTAGGAAGTTCACGGATCAGATTAGCCGAAACGGTGGCGAATCGAGGAACCATCCTGTCATCGATGAAATGAATCGTGAAGGTCAGTAGCAATTCGTCGCTGTTCGGCAGCGCTCTTACGTCAGTGGAAAAACTAACGAACAATGCTGAGTTTAGCATCGTTCTTATCTTCGTTGTATACTCCTCGTACAAAGCACTCAAAGAGTTTTCGGTGAAGTGGACTCGAGGCTTTAGGTGGAATCGCGGGGATATCACAGTGATGAGGTTACGAAACCCTGGACTTTCAACGAAAGAAGGTGGCAGTGTAGCGGTGCACAACAACTGGGTAATGGCCTTCTCGATGTTATCCATGCGTTCGCGATGTGGTGGTTCCCATATGGTCGCCTCTGACGCAAAGGATGAACCTGCTTTGCAGTTCGGTCGCTTTGGTTGTGAAGGCTCTGGACCGGCCTCAGGTTCCGATTTCCAAATGCGTTTCAAGCCATGCGCCAAGGCCAAAGCCCGTTCCGCAGCAGTCGCCCGTTCATATTTGGTTCGATCTTCACGATCTTTGAAAGAGCTGTAGAGGTCTGGATGTTTTTTTCGTAGGTGATGGAGCAGTGACGACGTCGTGCAGTCCTTCGGCTTCGGTATTGCCCAGCTGCACGTGTTGCATATCAGCATATTCTCGTGTACCAGAAAATACTCGCTGTATTTTCCCATCTGAAAAAGGTTGTATGAAAGCAAACAACATATTTTTCATATGGTTGTAGGAAAGGCACGCAATAACGAAAAATTTCCAAATGCCCAAGAGGCCAACAGGCAGATAGAAGAAAAAAAGAAAAAAGTTTCAGGTGTCGAATAATCCCGTCTAAAGTGAGCCAATATAGTCGATTCCCATTAAGAGCAGCAGAGACCATTTGTATGCTTGTAAGGTCTACAGAGTGATTACGAGGGCCAGTTGAAAATCAAATAAACGATTACCCGTTAGGCCTTCCATCGCCTAGGCGGGTATCGAGCAGGCGTTCCTTCAGCAAATGAAGCTCTTCGAAACTTCGATTTAATGGCACTGGAGCGAGCTCCTTTCCAAGGAGAAGGTAAGGAAAAGTTGCCGCTCAAGGATGGAATATCTCGTTGAATGTTTTATGTTCCCAATCGCTGCCTTTGAGATCATTGAATTGAAAAATTGGGAAACAAGGCTTACCTGAAATAGTCTCAAGTTGGTCAGTCTACTCAAAACAAAAAATTTTTTTTGAAGCCATTAAGATTTCAGCACTTTTGCCGTCTCCCCTAGCATTCTATACACTATCTCATCTGAATCATCGGCGTACAGCTGGAAATACTTAGAACTACGATATCCAGTGTTGTTCGTCGTGCCGAATAAGAAAACTTTTGGACTAAGGAGGGATGGGGGAGCGACTGCACCAGAAAATAAAAACGGAAGGTCTACCCATATTCAATCGCAAGTCGGTATCCACAGAGTGGTTCACCCTTCCGTCGACGATTGCTATTGATACGGGCACTCACAATGACCGGATTCGTAAAACAGAACAGTTAAGGGAACTGAAAGTTCACGTTGACTGTCGAACTCTCCAGCAACCCCCTTGCACTTCACCTACTTATCTAAGGAATCATCACATGTTTCCTTTGAGACGAACAGAAATTTCCCTCCAAATTATTTTGCATCAGAGATTTATTTGATGAACGAGACAAGTTCAGCCAGCCAGCTATGCAACAATAGATGAAGCCAAAAGCAAACAAAAGTAGTAGGAAAAAACTATTCAAGTAACTCCGACACATGAATAATAGCACGAACATTTCTTAAGGTGACTTATATGTACCAAAGTTGGGAAACCTTTTAACGTGCGGCATGGAGAGCATCTTAGAACAAAGAAGGACTGGTGAAGAAGAAAGAGAACATCCGGCTTCGCGCTCACCTTTGCGACACTGCTGTCCTTCCTGCTTTGTCGTAAGCCTCGAAGACTTGGACTCTACGAGAGCAGGATGAACATGCTGTTAGTGTCACTCAATGCGCTCTGGAAAGGACGATGCTCGGAATTTTCCTATACACGCAAGTGCAGAAGACAATCCGGAGTTTCGAGCTCCGTCATCGAATGAAGGTCAGGTGGACTGCACACGTTCTGCGGATATGGTGGTGACCGTTGAAACAGGGCGGTTACTGATTGAATCCCACGGGATGTCAAGCGAACACTAGGAGGGCCGCCAATACCATGGGCATAGTCAGACGTCTTTACGAAAGATCTGAACGAGAGGAATGCTGAGCATCGTGTCCCTGAAGCGAGAACGATTCACTGGACTGCTCTGGCTCGCAACAGTGACGAGTGGAGACCCTGCTGGCGCCCGCTCGAGGAAGTCGGTGATCAGCGGGACAATAGTGATTCAGGTGATGCCCTTCTGAAAGCAGGAGTGTTGCTGGGGAATAGTGCATCAGTGGGAGGAAAGCGAGAAAATCTACAAACCTCGCGAAAAAATTCTTCCATAAAGTGATGAAACTAGAGGTTAAACGAGATTACCATGATGGAAATGGCATGGAAAGAGTATTCAGACGAGTTTCAGTTGTTGCATTTGTGTAAATAGTTGACAACATGAAGTCAAAATGTCCGAAACTCCCTTCCCTCTTGGTCACGGGTCATGAATACTTGTTTGAATTTGAAGCATGGGTGCCCCTCGCGATGGCCTCTACAATGCCATTGAGACTCGTTTCCTTTGGGTGTGGCATACAACCGATACAATCTTCGAGCCCTTATAACTGCTTATCTAGGCCGTTCCGATAGCACCACATATGATATACGAGGAGGCTAAGGATCCTTATCATAAGGATACCCTGAGGACAATATTCATCGCGAACTTTAGAGAACGTTATTGCTGTTCGGAAAGGATTGGAACTTAAAACTTACTTTTCTTCCTGAGTAATGATGTGCACCATCTCATCATTTCATGAGAACACAATCGCAACTTGCCATTATTTCAGGAGGTTTTCACCTTCCTGTTCTCCATTTTCGCCCACCATCTTTTGTATTATTCATGTTTAGGTTTATACTTTGCCTTGATTATTTACCTTCCCCTTTCTTCACAACCCCCCTCCCCCCTCCCGCCCTTATTCAACGAAAAAAA